TACCCCAATATTATGCAAAGTATACAACTACGCGCTAAAATCACATGATCCACCAAAATCATGGTCAGATGCTATAATTTCAGTATTGTATAAGGAAGGTAAAGATCCTACGCAATGCAATAGTTATCGTCCTATCAGTCTTTTGTGTGTAGACTACAAAATATTAACATCTATATTGGCGAAACGAATTCAAAATTGTATAAAAGATGTAATAAAACCAGATCAAACTGGATTTATTCAAAACCGACATGGAACCAATAATGTAAGAAAGACATTAAATTTACAATCCATAGCGGTAAAAAGTAAAAAGAATGCAATGCTTCTCAGTCTTGATGCTGAGAAAGCTTTCGATAGAGTTGATTGGCTATTTTTAGAGCAAACACTGATAGAAATGGGTTTTGGAGAAAAATTTGTGGAATGGTTCAACATATTATATAAAGAGTCAAAATCAAGAATAAGGGTGAACGGTCAGTGTTCCAAATTCTTTGGGGTAGAAAGAGGAGTTAGACAAGGGGACTCTCTGTCTCCTGCTTTATTTGCTTTAAGTATTGAACCATTAGCAGAAGCCATACGTCAGAATACAGCCATTCTAGGAATAGAAGATGAAGGGAGATCGGTTCATAAAATAGCATTGTTTGCAGACGATGTATTGTTCTACATAGAAAACCCATCCCATTCCATTCCCCCACTTATGCAGTGTTTGCATGAATATGGACTAGTCTCAGGGTATAAAATCAATGAAAATAAATCTGAAGCCATGATGGTTTCTGGGGTTTGGCCTCCTCAGCTTAATGAGCAGGTTTCGTTTCATTGGTCAAAGAAAGGATTTAGGTACCTGGGTATCATTCTTACCCCCAAACCTAGCCAGCTTTTCGACGCAAATTATACAAATCTAATAAAACAAGTTAAAAATGATTTAAAAAGATGGGAGCTTCTTCCTCTCTCATTACTGGGTAGAATTGAGGTAATAAGAATGAACATACTACCCAGATTTCTTTTTTTGTTTCAGTCTCTCCCAGTAAATGTGCCTGTCTCAGAATTTAATTCGTTAGATAAAATATTTGGAAAATTCATATGGCAGAAAAAGAAAGCTAGGATAAAATATAAAACATTGCTTTTATCAAAAGATAAAGGAGGTTTAGGCTTACCAAATCTAAAATATTACTACTGGGCAGCTCAATTAACCGCAATAGTAACTTGGATTAAAAATAATAAAGAATCAAGATGGGTCGAAATTGAACAAAGCACAATAAAAGAGACATCACTGTCCGTTCTACCTTTTATAAATGTAAAACAGGCTCCAAAAATTAAAATAGATAACCAATGGATAAAACATACTCTAAAAATTTGGAATAAAACAAAAAAAATGTTTGGGGGTCCAGAATCTATATCCAGGGCCATGCCTATAGTAGGAAACATTGAGTTTCTCCCATCTGTGTGGGATGGTGGATTTCGAATATGGGCAGATAAAGGTCTTATAACAATAAATCAGTTATTCGTTGGAAAAGAAATTAAATCATTCTCACAACTCCAAGAACAATTTAATATTTCACCAAAAGATATGTATAGGTTCTTCCAAATAAGACATTACATTACAAACCATAAAGAAAAAGCTCTAATCATGCAAGAACCAAATAAAATAGAGGAATACTTCATAAATATTACAGAAAAAAAACACTCCAGCTAAAAATCACGTCTCCCATTTATACAAAAGATTACTAAATAATACTGTACAAAATACCGATCACGTTAAAGGAAAATGGGAACTAGAACTAAATACCATAATCGAGGATGAGGTCTGGACTGAGTTATGTGAAGGATGTCATAAAGGAATTAATAGTCAATTGTGGAAAGAATTTGATTGGAAAGTAAAAATGAGGTACTTTAATACTCCTTTTGTAATTTCTACATACGTGAAAGGACCATCGGTAGCTTTGTGTTGGAGAAAATGTGGTAAAATTGGAGACCATACCCACATTTTTTGGGACTGTCCTACGATTCAAGAGTTTTGGAAAAATGTTTAAAAAAAAAATAGATAATATATTAGATAGGGAGATACCCCTCGATCCAGTTGTGTGTTTACTGGGAGCACTGCCCAAAGAGATGTTTGATAAGGAAGCAAGATTTGTCCTAAGGATATTATTACTGGTTGCAAAAAAAATGATAACAGTACATTGGATGGAAGAAAGTTCTCCAAAAGTGTCTCAGTGGATTCAGAGACTTAAACAGGTCTATATAATGGAAAAAATGACTGCATGTCTACAGATGAAAACTGATATTTTTCTAAGGAGGTGGAAAAGTATTACGACATATTTGGATATGTATATTTAGAGATTGCTTAACCTCACCTTAACATGACTGTTATTTGATGTAACTATGCAATACAATGTAACTTGATGTACAGATGTATCCCCTGGAAAGTAATTATGATGGCAACACCTTTTATTTTAAATTTTTTTTTAATTTTCTTCTTTATTTTTTATTATTATTATAATTTAATTATTTATTTTTATTTATTTATTTTTTTAGGTACCCCCTCGTGTGTAAGGGGTAAAAATTTTTGGGGAAGGGGTTGTTCTGTAAAATAAATATATAGAAAAATCTTAAATAAAAAGTTAAAAAAAAAAAAAAAATGTGTGGCACAGTTTTGTACAGTGACATGTGACACAGTGAGCTCCCTGATCAAGCATTTGAAGTCACACATACAGGAAGGTTTAGAAATCAAATGCCCCGTGAAAGGGTGTGATTGCAGCTTTACAGTTTCATCCACTTTAGCTTCACATTTTTCAAGGAGACATAAAAATTCTAGATCACACCTTGTTAGATATGTCCAGTCCTGCTGAGCCTGGTAGTCTTTATAGTCAGTCATGTTCTGATGCTTCTGTTGTCAATGGTAATGAGCTAGAGGGGCAGTTTGCTGTGGATGAAACACTCTACCTACAAAATCTTGCCCTTCTTTATCTTAAATTACAAGGGAAGCTGTTGTTACCAGCCAGTACCATACAGACCATAATTGAAGACTTTCAAAATGCCCACGAAATTGGACTATCTCATTCATTTATGATCTTAAGGAAGAAAATGAAAGAACTTGGAATCCAAGAGGCTACTGCTAGCAACATTATTGATGAGATTAAAAGGGAAGATCTTCTTAATATGTACAACAGGGGCATTTTGAGCACAGACCAAAAAAGAAAGTCTGTTTATAAAAACTATGTTGAACCTGTGCCTCTTCTTTTGGGCAGTGATGAATATAGCAAGGAGTGCTTTGCCCAGTACATTCCTATACGTGAAACATTGTCCACACTATTCAAATGTAAACCTGTAAGAGAGCAATATGTTGCTACACGTTTTCAACCAACTACTGAAAATGTCATTCGGGATGTAAGCGATGGAGAGGGATTTAAGGGCAATAAACTGTTGAAAACAGAGCCTTCCTCTGTTGGTGTGATCCTGTATCAAGACGCCTTTGAGGTCGTAAACCCACTTGGTTCAGGAAAAAAAAAACACAATATATTAGCCGTTTACATGACCCTGACAGACATTTTGCCTCACAATAGATCCACAGTGGATCACATGCAACTTGTTCTTCTGTGTAGGGAGAAGGATTTCAAATACTTTGGCATGAACAAAGTTTTTGAACCATTGATCGCTGATCTCAAAGTTCTAGAGGAGAAGGCATTTTGACAAATGATGACAAAGTTGTAAAAGGAGCTTTAGTTGCCATTTCAGGAGACAACTTGGGATCACATTGCATTGGAGGTTTTGTTGAAAACTTCAGTCGGACAAGCCATTTCTGCCGTTACTGCGAGATTGACAGAAATGCATTTACAAACCAACCATACACTTGTGGGAGTCCAAGAACTTGCGAATCTTATCAAAGCCATTTGCAAGGTTTAGACACCACTGATACTGTCTCAGCATGCGGCATCAAGATAGACTCTCCTTTTAACCAACTTAATTATTTTCATGTCTGCCAGCCAGGTCTTCCTCCTTGTCTGGGACATGATCTGTTTGAGGGTATTGTGTCTTATGACCTTGCCTTGTTTATTGGTCACTTGGTTTAGGAGAAGCACTTCACCTACCTACAACTTAACAGATGTAAAAACCAGTTCAGTTATCTGGGAAACGAAGCCAGCAGCAAACCAGCAGACATATCTCCTTCCAGTGAACGATTAAGTGGCCATGCAGTACAGAATTGGTGCTTTTTGAGGTTGTTACCTCTATTTGTGGGTGACAGAATTAAAGATCCTTCTGAAAATGAAGTATGGCAACTCATTCTGCAGCTGAGAGAAATCGTGGAGCTTGTCTGTGCACCAGCTATTACGACAGAACAAGTGGCATATCTGAAAGTTCTCATTGAAGAATATGTGTTTAGTCGTCAAAGACTATTCCCTACCTGTTCATTAAAACCCAAGCATCACTATTTGTGCCATTATCCAGACCTTATTCTTCACTTCGGCCCACTTATTCGCCTCTGGACACTAAGGTTTGAGAGCAAATATGCTTTTTTCAAGCAGTGTGCCAGGAAATTGCATAACTTTAAAAATCTTTGCAAAACTCTTGCAGAAAGACACCAACTGTTGCAAGCCTACTTGAGTGAGGGCAGTCTTTTCCCTTCTGCTGTGCATGTTGAGAGAGGTACAGAGTTTTATGCAAGTGATTACAACGACAAGATCAGAGCATCAGTGGCTGGTCAAGATTTTGGTCGCAGTCTGCAATTGCGTGCAATGAAGTAACAGTAAAAGGCACAGTATATCGAAAGGGGATGTGTGTTTTGCTTAAGAGTACTGATGAAGAACTTTCTGTTGGGAAGATTAATCTCATCATTGTTCTTAACGAGTCTGTGCAGTTTGTGACTCAGAAACATACTTTTGTGAAGATGAGTGACATTGGGGTCTACTGTGAATTAGGAGTAGCTAACGAGGATTATGTCTGCGTCAAGCAAGTTGATTTGCTGGACTATTATCCTCTTCCGTTGTATAAAATGCATGACACATCACTAATTGCTATCCACCATTCTTTTCCAGAACCAGTTTGAGCTGGCACCTGAAAGGTAGCTGGAATTGTGGAGACAAGAAGAGCTAACAGGTTAGGCATAAATTGATAGAAAAGATGTAAACTTTTTGGTTATGCTTTTTAATAACATAGGCCCTCAACATAATATCCTTATCTATGAAATGTACAGTAAAACATGTTCTCTTCAAAGTAATTAAGAAAAAGTCAATTGTAACATTTTGCATAGTTTAAAATTTTTAAGTCAATGTATCACTTATCAAAGACAATTTAGGCTTACTGTCAGTTTGTTGTTGTGGTTTAAAAAAAAAAAAACCTGCCAGTACTAAACCTAACTTTTTCAAAATATTGTTTTCTAAACAGTTGTTTAATAAATTTTAAAGTTCAATACATCTAGAGACAGTTCATACTTTGTTTTGTCATTTTGTTGCTTGAGACACTTTTGCTGACTACATGTATTTATCTATATACTGTAGCTGTAAATAGTTCATTTGTGTTTCTGCATAGTTTAAAATTTTTAAGTCAATTTATCACTTATCAAAGACATTTTAGGCTTACTGTCAGTTTGTTGTTGTGGTTATAAAAAAAAAAAAAAAAAACTTGCCAATTCTAAATCTAACTTTATCAAAATATTGTTTTCTAAACTGTTTCTTAAATTTAAAAGTTCAATACATCTAGAGACAGTTCATACTTTTTGTGTTGCTTAATACACTTTTGCTGACTACATGTATTCATCTATATACTGTAGCTGTAAATAGTTCATTTGAGTTCCTCATTGAATATAGCACATACGGAAAATATCTTGTAATATCTTTTTGGGGAAATGTTTAAAAAGTTTGAGGTTTAATTTTAACAACCCTACACCATTTGTAAACAAAAAGACCAAAACTGTTGATACAACATTTGAAATTGAAGATGTAATGATGCATTATATTAACACGGTCTTTGTGACAAAAAATTTCTTAAACTCACAAACTCTTAGTTTGGTCAGAAATGATTTGGTGTAAAGTTCCTGTTTTTTAGGTTTAGCATTTTGCATTAATAATACAAATGTTTATTAATTGTTTTAACATCTGCCAAACACTTTTCAGAAAATGGATGAAGTAATGATGAAAGATTTGGTGTTGTCATTCTTACCGGGCCTCTCCGTTGAAACTCTGACTTCACTACTGAGTTTGTTGCAAGAAATTGGTGTGGAAAACAAGGAAGATCTTGCTTTTGTACAAGAAAAAGATCTAAAGAAATACCTTCGACCTATTCAGTGTCGGAAGTTACTAAATGGCTTTCAAGGTAAAATTTTATTTATTAATTTTTAATTACTTTTGGTTGGGTTTTTGGTTTGGTTTTGCTAAAAATAATAATTGAGTCATATATAATATTTTTTTTGAAAAGTAAATGAACTAACAAAGCTGTATCAAATTCTGAAGCAACTAACATTACATGACAAAATGAAGTACATTAATATCAAACATTAACCTAGCATGATATATTATCATAGTGCCCTTTGAAATATATTTTTTTAAATATTCAATATTTCCAGGTTATGTTTTTCCCCCTAACTTAAATATGACAAGATTGATTAATTAATTACTTGAACATTTTAATTAAACAATTAACTGATTAGTTGACATTAAATAAATTAGGCTTCCTGTGAAATTTATATATATCTTTCAAATATTTTCCAAAGAATGTTTAAGAGACCAATACAATTTTCAAAGGATTTCCTAAAGTGATTTTTCTTCTGTAACTTTTTTATTTGTTTGGCAGGAATAAAAGCAGGTTTAATGTTTTAAAAACATTTTTAAGGTCAATATTATTAGCCCCCAGAAGAAGTCCTTTTCTTTTTAATACTGTCTTTTTTCACTATTTAGGTATTATATATAATGAATTAATCAGTAATGAAAACATTTAAAAGTATTTATATTGCATAACAAATGGTGTAGAAACAATATATTGCTATTAAAACAATTATTTAAATAGAAATTTTAATACATGACAATACATACATACATACATACAAATACCCCAGTTTGTCTTGGCGGCATGAATTAAATGTTTATGAGTGAAAGTGAATCTGCCAAACCGCAGTTAAAATCAGGCATCCTGCTGATTTGATTCAGAAAGGCACTTTTTTGTCAGATGGCTCACCGGTCAGGTGTACATCCGCGTTAAAATATTAAGCTGAAAGTCATCATCGCTTGCATAGAATAGACCCAGCTCCCAACCCAACATTGAGAAGAGATTAACAGCAATATTTAATGTGCGGTAAGAGTCTCGCGTAAACGCAACATGTTAACACCGATAACGGCCCACCACTAGTATATATCAAGTGTGTTTGTGTGTATATATACACACACACACAAAGTTAGAATTATTAGTCTTCCTGAATTATTAGCATTTGTGATAACTAATCTATTTTTTCTTTGCCATGATGACATTAAATAATATTCGACTAGATATTTTTCAAGACACTTCTATACAGCTTAAAGTGGCATTTAAAGGCTTAACTAGGGTAATTAGGTTAACTAGGCAAGTTAGGGTAAATAGGCAAGTTGTTGTATAACGATGGTTTGTTCTGTAAACTATCGATAAATATAAGCTTAAAGGGGCTAATAATATTAAGAAATAAGACTTTCTCAAGAAATAATGAATATAGGAAATATTGTGAAAATGTCGTTGCTCTGTTAAACATCATTTGGGAAATATTTAAATAAGAAAAAAAAATCAAAGGGGGCTAAAAATTCTGACTTCAACTGTATATACATATGTAGCCCCCTTAAGCAATATTGTATTGGATTGTCTACAAAACAAACTGTTTTTAGAAATGTGTTAAAAAAATTTGTTACAGAAATTGGGGAACAAATTTACTTTGGGAGAAAAAATTCAGGATGGCTAATAATTCTGACCTCAACTCTATATATAATAATTAAATCTGTAATGAAAACATTTAAAGTATTTATATTGCACAACAAACGGTCTAGAAACATAATTTTGCTATTCAACTAATATTTATAAAGTATAGAACTATAATTATGTTAATTATATTCAGAATGATTGTTAATTTTATATATTATAATAAATAATATATTATATAAAAAATGACAAAAAAAAACATAATAATACATAATTGTTTTTGGTAATATTGCCTGTCCTAATGTAGTGTTAATTTTTATACAAGGCAGAATATAAATTTGTAAGACCAAGGCCAAGTGAACATGAAATTTACTAACCTTTTTTAACTTAGTTATTCTCTATTTATTTACTTAAGTGTTTTTTTTTGGTCAGAAATAAATACAAAGTTATAATACTACTTCAGTATCTGTGTCTGCAACATTTTTTCTTTAATTTAACAGATTTAACCATTTTATGACTTTTTTTTTCTCCAGTTTCTTTAAATTCTGAATTAATTGCCTGAAATTATTGACTGAAAGCCAGACATACACACTGAAAAAAGTGTTGCATGCAGAACAGTTGCAAACAATTAATTTGTGTTGAATTTAAACAAACAAATTAAGTTTAGTAATGTTCAACTTAATTTGTTTGTTTAAATTCAGCCCAAATAAATTGTTTACAACCACTTAACGTAAAGAAATTGAGTAAATCCAAGGAATCATCTTTGAATAATTTTTTTCAGTGCATACTTTACTTTTCACATCCAATCTCATTACTCATTACTTATAATAACTAGTTTTAACTAATTAAATCTCTTGCTTTTTTAAGTTGGTAGTTGAAATTCTTTTTACAGTACTTTAGTTATGTGCCACAGGAAGACATGCCCTACACTTTTAAAATCAATTCTTAAAGCAGGAAAACTGGTCATATGTACTTTTCTATTAAAATCTGAAATTGCTGTCCCAGGACACTACCGCTGTTTTAAATGATCACAAAATTAAAAAAAAAAAATAACCGAATGCTGGAAAAATGCATGTTGGGAGGGGCCAATTGATTATTATGGGTATGATTTGTTATTGGGTATTTGGTACATACTGAAAAAGCTTGCACTCCTCATGTACAAACTTTTTTTTTGCAGGATTTGCAGTAGTTCAACTGGAAATGATTCCTGTGCCCTCTACATCTTTTGACCCTAGTTTCTTTAAAGCTCCTCCCACTGTACCTCCCAGCATAGTTTCACCTCCCTCCTTGCAGATTGGCAGACCATGGCATGCAGAATTTCAAGTGAATTGGGATAGGATGCCAGCCGCAATTCGCAAAGCAATTGCAGAAAAAGCAAGACCAATTCCTGGCGAAAGAAAAGATATGGTGAAGGCATTGGTGGATCAAATATTAGATCATGATCCTAACCCAACAAGAGCAATGTGTCACAACATTGCTCGAAGCATTATAAGGCTGTTATTCTCTTCTGCAGCAAATTAAAACTAGAGTTGAATATAAGAACAGGAGCAACACCCTGGTGAGACGCCGCAAAGAGAGAAGGCCACAAAGTGAAGTACCAGATGAAAGCAGAGACAAAAAAAAAAGAGGTCCTGTTGATCAGTATGGCTGTGTTAGATGGAGTCCGGAATTTCCTCTTGGTGAAACAGAGGCATCTTTAGATGAAATGAAAAGCCATCTCCTTACCTTGTACTCAGTGGAAGGCATGAGTGGTGCTGAGACTGCTGAGCCTTTTATGGAGAAGACATATGTCATCCAGAGGCGCTTTCTTAACAGTGTGCCTGCACCATCAATTGCCATGGTTAAAAAGGAATGGCCTTTTCTCTTCTCTCTAAGAGGTATTTCCCTTTTCAACTTATAAATCACAAGGCACATTGCATGAGTGGCACATAGTATAACTAAAAAATAAAAATGCAAATTCAAATGTCATTGAAAAACAATCAGAGGCATGCTGCAGTATTAAAATGTATTGGACTAGAGGAGTGGTGCTCAATCCTGTTCCTGGAGATTGACCTTCCTGCAAATTTCGGCTCCAACCCTGATCAAACACACCTGAACCAATTAATTAAGACCTGAACAGCACTTGATAATTACAGGCAGGTGTATTTGATATGGGTTGCAACTGAAATCTGCAGAGAGGTCGATCTCCAGGAACAGGATTGGTCACACCTGGACTAGAGCTTACAAATTATATACACTTTAATATCTAACTACATGCTTGAATGAAAAAATAGAGTGGGATGTTTTTGTACTTCATGTTATATAGAGTTAAACTTGATATCCACTTTTAATACAAAGCTGTCTAGAATATGTGATTCTGATTGGTCAGTTACATTACAAGGTATGTTATTCCAAGATGATAACAACCCCCTGGATGTACTTTTCCCATGCTAAAATAGTCAATGCATTTCTCTAATGTAAAATACAAATTACCATAAAAGAGAGCCTTGGACTGCTCAAAATTAGATTTACATTTTACTTTTTTTGGTTTGAGACTACATTCCAGCCATAAAACAAGCCCTTAAGAAGATAAAGGCATACCTAACAATATCAAAAGACCCTTTGCAATATCAATAAAACTGAGCAATGCTTCTTCTCTATTATTTTCAGGTATTTTTTCTCATTTTTCTGTCTTGACCGTTGTGTCTATCCTCATGAAGTTCCGAGAGGCCCTGGAAACCAAAGGGAGCACCCTTTTGAAGTTTTGCAGAAAAACCAATTGTCATCATGGGGTTAAGGATGTTTTGGATTCTTTTGAACCGGATGTTTCAAACAAGGCTGCATGCATTCTTTTACTGCTCCTGGCCTATTTCAAAGAGCCAAAGGATGCCATTGTGCTTGAGGCTGATGTGAGTATATTTATTATTTTGACATTAGTATTAGGCCTATTGTTTGTTAAAAATTGTACATATACTGTACTTGTATAACCCTTTTTTAGGCTTGTAACCTCTTAAGTGCTTCTGTTTCAGCCCGCACACCACTGATAATCACACAATCACGCTCACTCACTCAAACACAAGTATGATATTGTTATCATGGGCACATTATATTTAATAAATAATTATTTATTAGCTAAAATTTAAAGTGGTTTCAGAATATTCAGGTTGTTGTATTGTCAATGGTTGTCATCACAACACCAAATGCATGAAGACTTTATTGGCTGTTTATTTTCAAAGATTAACATTTTATCATAGTAATCTGGACCAAGACGTGTTGGAGATACTTATTAAAAGTGTTCTAACCAGTTAGATTACACTGTAAAATAAATCTTCATTTGTTAATAGTAATTAGACCAAACTCACAATGACAACTACAAAAGCATTGATTAGTCCTAATGACGTTGATTTCTTAGTTAACGTGTAATAACTCAATAAAACAAAACTTGTTTTATTAAACATAGCTAACAATATAATTCAGTTGTATTTTTTTTATTAACATAAATGGGTTATTTCTTGTTTACTAACGAGATCTTACTATTTTCCATAATATACACTTGATTGATCTGAACATTTATATACAATAAAAGTTTGTAATTATACCTGTTAAAGTAACTCTTATTGGAGCCTTTGCCATTATTTTTATATCACAGCATGATAAAAGATTCATCAACAATTTTATCATTGGCTTTAAAACTAGCTGTGCATAGAGACCATTAATGGGAACAAGGACATATTCTTGCACAAATTTTAATTGATACTAGCTACAGATGCACAGGTCTGTTGGTATCATATGTACAGATTATTCACTGTCTTATTCTACCCTTATGTTAATTGCTTTTGCAGCCTTGTGATTGTACAAGGTAAAGTTGTCATTATATATATATATTTATATATATTTAGCCGCCTTTTGATTTTTCTTTTCTTCTTTTTTAAATATTTCCAAAATGATTTTTAACAGAGCAAGGAAATTTTCACAGTATGTCTGATAATATTTTTTCTTCTGCAAAAAGTCTTATTTGGTTTACTTTGGCTAGAATAAAAACAGTTATTAATTTTTAAAAAACATTTTTTTTACAAAATTATTAGCCCCTTTGAGCTAATTTTTTTTTCGATAGTCTACAGAACAAACCATCGTTTTACCATAACTTGTCTTAATACCCTAACCTGCGTAGTTCACCTAATTAACCTAGTTAAGCCTTTAAATGTTACTTTAAGGTGCATAGAAGTGTCTTGAAAAATATCTAGTAAAATATTATTTACTGTCATCATGGCAAAGATCAAATAAATCAGTTATTAGAAATAAGTTTTTTAAAACTAATATGCTTAGAAATGTGCTGAAACAATCTTCCCTCCATTAAACAGAAATTGGGGGAAAAAATAAACAGGGGCGCAAATAATTCAGGGGGGGCTAATAATTCCGACTTCAACTGTATAGTTGAACTGTATACTTCAACTGTATAGTTGAAGTCAGAATTATTAGCCCCCCTGAATTATTAGACTGCTTGTTTATTTTTTCCCCAATTTCTGTTAAACAGTGATACGATTTTTTCAGCACATTTATGAACATAATAGTTTTAATAACTCATTTCTAATAACTGATTTATTTTATCTTTGCCATGATGACAGTAAATAATATTTTACTAGATATTTTTAAGACACTTCTATACAGCTTAAAGTGACATTTAAAGGCTTAACTAGGTTCATTAGGTTAACTAGGCAGGTTAGGGTAATTAGGCAAGTTATTGTATAAGGGTGTCACGATTTCGATTTTAAATGATTTGGTTATTTAGAGGATCGTGACACCCTTATTATTGTATAACAGTGGTTTGTTCTGTAGACTATTGAAAAAAATATAGCTTAAAGGGGCTAATAATTTGAACTTAAAATGGTTTTTAAAAAAATTAAAACTGCTTATATTCTAGCCGAAATAAAACAAATAAGACTTCTCCAATAGAAAAATATTATCAGACATACAGTGAACATTTCCTGAATCTGTTAAACATTTTTTCTTAAAAGAAAAAGAATTCAAAGGTGGGCTAATAATTCTGACTTCAACTGTGTGTCTGTGTATTGTGTATTTATATGTAAAACATATTTGAAAGAAAAATGGAATTTGATGTAATTATGAATGCATATGTAAATTATACACCTTATTCAAATTGGCTGCCACACTACTCTTTCACTGTTAGTTTCTTTAAAATCTTTTCTATTTTGAACTGCAGTACATGATAAGTATTTATGTTTTTTTTCAGGGGACGCAATGAAAGCCACAACGTGGATGTTGTCACTGGAGGGTCAAGTGGTCATGGGACCACACACAGACATCACAACTGGTTTGGCTGCCATTTTTGCCAGCTACTATAATTTCAATCTGAAGTATGCAGAAGAGGCTTCGTGCACTCTGGAATTTATCCAAAGGTAATGTCTTTTTATATTGTACCTGAAAACATACTTCTTATTTTTTGAGTTAAACAAAAATTGTTTGGATGTGGTGTTTGTTGATATTTTTGCAAGCCATGTAAAACGGCAAACACTCACAAATATTTTTATCCTCCCTTAAACTAGGGGAATGTTGCAGACTCTATTAATTTGTCTGTGCTAGAGACTAGAGAGGAAGCAGTTTTTAAAAGGATAGAGCCATTATGCTGGGTTTACACCAAATATGAATTTAAGTATTCATGCAAATTAACAAATTAGGGTGAATAACAAAACAATATGCCTCAATTGGGTCTCCTTTACTAGTTGAAAATATTTCTTGTGCTTAAAAACATTCCACTAATAGTCTAGAGCCAATGTTGCAAAGCGGATGTTGTCATTAAGTTTGGTGTGAACCAACCTAGTAAACAGAATATGTACATTGTCATGATTGTTTCGCAAACTCTCAGAGTAAATAAACTGCATAATGACAAATAAGTTGAATCTAATCTAAATACAAAACCTGTATTTTTCTGCTGGACTGCTTTTGGCTATGTGTGATCAAAAGGTTTTCCTGTTGCTTTTATTTAAATATTTGTAATTTAATTGAGCCACAATTCTGACACAATTTTCTTTACTTATTTTTACTATTTGTTTATTCAGCAGTAGCGATCTACTTCAGGTGGTGATTCAGAACTAACACTTTCTTTATCCTATTTGAATGAAACTAAATGCTTTTCTCTCTGCTTATTTTGTTTACAGGTGCTTCTTGGGCATCAATCCAGAGACTGGTGCGAAGTCTAAAAAGCAGAGAGGAAACATCAACCAGTCCGTGTGTACACTTGTTAGGAAAATAATAGACTTTGAATGGTTGTCAGTGTAGCTTGCGTACTGCGTTTAACAGCATACATGTAAAGATGGATGTTTCATATATTTGTGAATATGTGTGTATGTGAATCATTTCTCTTAGTTAGGCTTTTTTTTTTTTGTTTGTTTTGTTTTACAATTGAGGTCAATATTATTTTCCCCATTAAGAAACTGATACAGACAAATTGTCTACAAAACAAACTACTGTTATCCAGCAACTTAAAGGGGAAATTTAACACTCAGTCAAGTTTACATTATATTGTACACTGGATTCCAATTTAATGAAAATATATTAAACAAACTCGATTAATGTAACTATTTAGAAGAAAACAGCAAACAACGTCCACAAGTTCATGCATTGGGTTAAATTAGGCTTTAGTCTCCTTTACTTACACTGTATCTGTTCAGCTGAAGGAAGAGAACCAACCCTGTGATGTCAGACACGGCAACATTCCAAGATGGCGGTGCCCTAGCTCTAAAATCTATAGTAAATTATGCTGTTTTCTTCTAAATGCTTACATTAATAGAGTTTGTTTAATATATTTTAAATAAATTGGAATCCAGTGTACAATATAATGTAAACTTGACAGAGTGTTAAATTTCCCCTTTAATCTGGAATACTATTATCTTGAAAAATAAGAAAATATGTAGTCACAATGGCTGTAACGGGGAGACTGACACGGAGGGATCCATTTTGCAGTATTTATTAAGTCACACTTAAACATCAAACAATACGCACGGCTCTGCGAACATACAACATACACATCAATGAGAGGAGGTTGCAGATGACAGACACAGAGTGATTACCAGGCATGGGTCAGAGGCAGGCAGCGTGATTCAGAGTCCGTGCAACAGGCTTTAGTCAGGGGCAGGCAGCGAGAATCAGAGTCCGAGTACACAGGCTTTGGTCGTGGGCAGGCAGAAGACAGAGCAGAGTCAGGAAACGGGCTGAAGTAGTAAACAGGAGATCAGGCAGGATAGAACGCTCAGAAATGCTGGCCGGGGCTAAACAAGACTTCGCACTGAGGAGTGAGTGTGAGCTGCTTATATGTGGTACGTGGGTCATTAACGGAATGGAGAACAGGTGTGCTGGAATCAGAGTGAAGGGATGATGTAATGTTAGAAGTCCGGAGATGGTGGCCTCTGCTGGCCAGCGAGGGGAATGACTGGGACCGAGTCGGTGACAGAGCCCCCCCCAACGAACGGCTCCTGAAGTGAGGCGAGTCTCGACGCCGGGGTCTTCCACGGGGGCGAGGGGCCGGCATATCCGGATGTTGTAAGTGGAACTCTTCCAGTAGTGTTGAGTCAAGAATGTCCTTGCGGTTGATCCAAGATCTCTCCTCCGGGCCGTACCCCTCCCAATCGATGAGATATTGGAGTTGTCCACCCCGGCGTCTGGATCTCAGGATTTCGTGGATCTGGTATGCCTCCTCACCATCGATCATGAGAGGCGGGGGACCCTGTTCACCGGCTGCCACTTCCCTATCCGCCTCGGCTGGACCAACAGCAGGCTTGAGCAGGGAGACATGGAAAGTGGGAGAAATACGGTAATGATTAGGGAGTGTCAGTCGGAACGAAACAGGAGATATTTGTTGTCAATTTTGAAAGGACCCACGTACCTGGGGCTGAGCTTCTTGCAGGGCAGTCTGAGGCGTAAGTCACGGGTGGAGAGCCATACCCATTGTCCTGGGGAATACATGGGACCAGGACGTCGGTGTCGATCGGCTTGTTCCTTGAAACACCGTATGGCGTGAGAGAGATGGGTGTGAGCTGCGTTCCATACTTCCTCGCAGCTTTTAAACCAAGTGTCTACAGCGGGAAGTTCAGTGGTCTCGCCGGACCAGGGGAAGAGAGGAGGTTGGAAGCCCAGGACGCATTGAAATGGGGTCAGACCTGTTGATGCCTTTCTCAAAGAATTTTGAGCATATTCTGCCCACATAAGAAATTTAGCCCATTCAGTCTGGTTAGAGTGACAGTATGTGCGGAGGAATCTGTCGATCTCCTGGTTAAGGCGCTCTGTTTGCCCATTGGATTGGGGATGGTAGCCAGATGTTAGGCTAACGTTTACTTGAAGGTTCTTAAAGAATGCTGACCAGAGTCGAGAGGTGAACTGGGGTCCTCTATCCGACACGATGTCTTCAGGGAGACCATAATATCGGAACACACATTCGCAGAGCAGTTCGGCCGTCTCCATGGCTGTAGACAGTTTGGCTATGGGAATGAGGCGGCAGGATTTAGAAAATCGGTCTACCACAGTGAGGATGGTGGTTTTCCCCTGAGATACAGGTAGATCGGTGACGAAATCTATGGCAATGTGTGACCAGGGACGGTGTGGCACCTCCAGGGGTTGGAGCAGTCCAGCTGGACGATGACGGGAGTGTTTGGACATCTGACAGGGTGAACATTTGTTAATGAAGTTGATGACATCCTTGTTTATGGATGGCCACCAATAGCGGGATTGGATTAACTGCACGGTGGCCGTGCTGCCTGGATGACCAGAGCTGGGGTGGTCATGTACCTCGGTGATGAGATTTTCGCGAAGTGACGGGGGAACAAAGATCTTGTTTTCCGGACAGGACTGTGGCGTGGAACTGTTTTCGGAGGCTTGAAGAATTTCGTGCTCGATATCCCACTGAATGGGGGCGACAATCAGGGGATCTTTGAGAATGGGTTCATCACTGTTCTCTGAGGTCTCATCGTCTGAGAGGCAGGAGAGAGCGTCTGCCTTAATGTTCTTCGAACCAGGGATGTATGTGACTTGGAAGTCGAAGCGTGTGAAGAACAGAGCCCATCTTGCCTGTCTAGGGTTCAGACGTTTACAGGATCGAATATATTCCAGGTTTTTATGGTCAGTGATGACGGTGAAAGGATGTTTGGCGCCTTCAAGCCAGTGTCTCCACTCCTCTAACGCAGCCTTCATAGCGAGGAGTTCTCGATTTCCCACGTCATAGTTCCTCTCCGCGGAGTTGAGTTTGCGAGAGTAGAAAGCACAGGGATGGAGCTTCTTCGTGGCTAGGGATCTCTGGGACAGAATGGCTCCAATGCCAGTGTTGGATGCGTCAATTTCAACAATGAAGGGTTGCTCGGGATCAGGATGATGCAGAATGGGTGCACTGGAGAAGCGGGTTTTGAGTTGAGTGAATGCTCGAGTAGCGTCTGGGTTCCGTTTGAGGCGAGCGTTATTGGCTTTCACCATGGCGGTAAGTGGAGCAGCAACTGAGCTAAAATTTCTTATGAAACGTCGATAGAAGTTAGCAAAGCCCAGGAATCGTTGCAGTTGTCGGATAGTTTCTGGTTGTGGCCATTGCGTTACTGAATCGACCTTTTGTTGATCCATGGCCACGCCTTCGGGGCTGATGATGTAACCCAGGAACGATATGCATGTTTGGTGGAACTCCCACTTGGAAATTTTGGCGTATAACTGATTCTGGATGAGGCGTTTGAGCACTGCCCTGACGTGCCGAACGTGCTCTGATAAGGAGTTGGAGTAGACCAGGATGTCGTCAATGTATACGATGACCCATTGGTTGAGCATGTCTCGAAATATCTCATTTACAAAAGCCTGGAACACGGAAGGACTGTTTGCTAGGCCGAAGGGCATAACGAGGTACTCATAGTGGCCGTTGATTGTAGAGAACCCGGTTTTCCACTCCTCTCTCTGTCGTATGCGGATGAGGTTATATGCACTGCGGAGGTCCAATTTGGTGAAATACTGAGCTGAGCGGAGTTGTTCAAGGGCTGCTGGAACCAATGGTAAGGGGTAGCGGTATTTGACGGTGATCTCATTCAAGCCTCGGTAATCAATGCAGGGGCGTAAGCTGCCATCCTTCTTCTTCACGAAGAAGAAGCCAGCTGAAGCAGGTGATGTAGATGGTCTGATAAAGCCTTTTTCTAGCTCCTCGGAGATGTAATTCTTCATAGCTTCAGTCTCAGGCTGAGAGAGAGGGAAAATGCGACCACGAGGGGGTGTGGTGCCTGGTAGTAGTTCGATGGCACAGTCATTGTCACGATGAGGAGGGAGCTTGGTAGCTTTTTGCTTATTAAATGCCTCAGTTAAGTCATGATAAACCTCGGGAATTTGACAAAGTTCAGGGTCTTCGGTGCTGATAATCGTGTTGATCTGGACTGGGGAAACAGAATGCAGACACTGGGTAAAGCACTGATCGCTCCATTTAGTGATCTCACCAGTTCTCCAGGAAACTTGAGGGTCGTGTAGTTGTAACCATGGCAACCCGAGGATTACAGAGTGTCGAGGGGAGTCGATGGCAAGAAGGGAAATCTCCTCTTCATGGAGAGAGCCTGTTTGAAGAGAGATTGGTTGAGTCTGGAATTGTATGTGTCCCTCTCCCAATGGGCGCCCGTCTACAGCAGTGATGGCTATGGAGGAATCACAGGAGGTTAGAGGAAGTGAGTGATAGCAAACGTGTAGTCGATAAAGTTGCCAGCTGCTCCTGAATCGATCATGGCCATGGTCTCAATCTCATCTCCATTGTTTTTCAAAATGACAGGTATACTCATAATATCATTAGTGGTCGTGAACATAGTGGTTGCACTCACCGAGAGGGTTTTAGGGAGAGGCTTGTTGGGACATAAAACCTTCGTATGACCTGGAAGTCCGCAATAGATGCATAGGTGATTTCTCCTCCTTCGTTCTCGTTCCTCTGGGTTCAGGCGGGTTCTACCCAATTGCATGGGTTCAGCGGAGGTTTCAGGGGATACAGGACTGGAAGCAATTGAGCACAGTGGGTTGCGAGTGCGGAGGAGAGTGTCTAACCTTATGGATAGTTCAATCAGTTGATCCAGTGTTTTTCCCTCGTCACGACATGCCATCTCTTTTTGCAGTTCTGGTTTCAGAGCCTTTCGGTAGAGCGTAGTAAGTGGATCATCAGCCCAGCCTGTTTGCGCTGCCAGAGTGCGGAACTGCAGTGCGAACTCAGCTGCGGAGCGATCTCCCTGTTGGATACACAGTAGCTCCTCGCCAGCATTACGACCACCCTCAGGATGATCGAACACAGTGCAAAAACGTTTGAGAAAGTCATTAAACGAGGGAAATATCGGGGTGCTGTCTGGCCAAACTG